AGAAAGCACTTTGATGTGACTTAGAAGGCCTCCTGAAATAACAGACAGCCGAAAGTTGTCAGAGTTCCCAACGACTTCAACGGAGTGACACTGCCCAATTTCAAAAATGGTAATCGATATTTACGTGCAGATAAAGTTATGCGGTCAATTCGAACTAAAGAGGACATATCTGAGAGTGAGGGACGTGAATTGGCTAGATTGTGCGCAACTAAGTTAGCTCAGAAGTTGCAGAGACATGAGATGCTTGGTGTTGCTGCGTGTTTGTTCGATGAGTTGACCTAAGAACCGAGCTGTCACAGCCTCAAGAAAAGCGTGAATCTTTGCAAAACCAATTGCGCCTGAGGCGTCATACCACGTGCATTTGGTGAGCCTCTGTCAGCATTTCTTGCTCTTCTATTAGTGATGATGATAATTATGTTGTCACTTAGAGTGCACTTTGTACTGAGTCTCACCCTGTCATAATGATGTTTATTCCAACAGGTGGAAGGCGTGAGTTTGTTCGTATTTGCATGTAATGGAACAAACGGGCTTGTCTCTCCAACAAGTTCAAATCCGTATACGGTGTTCGGGTTGCCCTTTTTATTAGCACCGTGTCCCCATCCTGCATTTGACTTCCCCACAACAGCGCAACCAGTGAGTCTGTTTAGTTTAAAATTAAAACACATTTTTGAGACAAATTCGCCACGTGCTTACAATTTGAATCATTCCATCTCCATCTCCACTTTTACTCGTTTGGACTCCGGCCATTTACCAAACCGCCCAAGAGCACTCATGGCCAGCAATGGTTTCAGTTTTAGTTCATGCCAGCTGACTATGTCTTTAAACTTGTCGGACCTCATGCCCATTGTTCTCAACAAGTTGGGAAAGAATCCTATTAGCATTATTTCGGATATTCCCCACTGTTTATGACATTGCTCTCTTTTCGTGCAATCCGTACCACCACGACCCCCCAATCATACTTCATTCTGACTGTAAGCATGTGATCATGCCACCCACAGGTTGGGAATAAACACTGTTATTATTATTATAAAATCAAGAGAGGGAAGTGCAAAGTTGTGGGTGTACTATCAAACTGTGTATAGCAGTGTAATGCCATCATCTCACTGAAATACTTTGGAACCTGGTTTCTGTCGGCCTCGTATACATCGGTTGGCATAAATACTGGCCCGTTGTTTATCATAAGTAGCATAGATAGGCGACAACGTGTACAGTTACGAGTACGACGGATTAGGTTGTATTGAGTTACCGGTTAATCAACGCCGCGGAACTAGCAGGTACGATAAGTAACCAGGTTAGGTGACATTGAGTACAGCAATGGGTAAGACAGGCCATCAGATCAGGCTGTCACGTATAGTTAAGGCCCCATTTTTACCGGCCCGCAAGGATAGTGGCATGGTGTTTACTATAAGTAGCATAGATAAGCGGCATGGCGTGTGGTAATGGGTATGATAGACCGTCGTTGGTCATTGGATTCTGTTACCATGCGCATGCAAGATCTCTTAATCAGCGTCGCACATGGACGCGGGCCTAGCAGTATTCGAGCTGAGTGACAACGCGTAGAGTTACCAGTAGAAGGGGCCGTCGTTGGTTATTGGATTTGGCTGCTGCACATACGTTAGGCTTCATTATCAGCGTCGCACATAGACATGGACTCAGCAGTTAAAATAGGTAGCCGGGGTGAGTGGCGCTTTATGGAGGTCACCAGCTATGGAGCGCCATATCCCTGATATGAATGATACCCGCAGCTATCTCGTGATGCCGTCATATCTACAGGCTGGTTATGCATGTCTAGGGAATGGGATCATAAACAGAGATGGCCCTTGCGTTGCCACTGCACAGCTCATTCAGCTGTCTAACAATGTTGTACTTAGTGGGAGTAGAGTTCCACGGGAAAATTTGTTGTGCCTGGGTTCGCCGAACAAAATATATTTTTGATTACAATCGCATTTCCTAAAGCTGAGGAGTGTAAAGGAAGCAAACGTCAACAACCAGTCTTCCAAGGTGAAAGTTGCATTAGATATTCTTTAGATGCTTTCTATTCTTAAAGAACACCGAAGAACGCCAAAATATACTAAATTGCTATTTCGTGTTTTATGTCGTGTAAATCGGTAAGAAAATGCAAATCGATCGTGGTCTGTGACCTTGAAATTTCGCTCACTTAAACAGAATGCTACGTGTAATATGTCACCGGAAATTGCAGATGGATTAGAGTAGATTAACTCCCCGTTAAGGTCACAACTTCGAAAACCATATAGTTTCGGTGAAAACAATTTGGATGTACAAATAGCCAGCGGCCTAGCGTATAGTTTGGCTTCGGTTACGTTGGGAAATTGATAGTTGTTATTTTGTCACCACCTTTGCCCTTTGAAGAGGCGCTAAATTAATACAGTAAGGGATAATTGTATGGCTTCTGTGGGCGCACTGAGTGTTCGAAGCACAATCGCTTCCCTATGTTATGAGTGAATATAACGCAACCACAGCAGGCGAGTAGCAAAAGCAACAGAGTGGCGAAAAATCCGAAGAAGCTTGTAATTTGAGCGCATGTTTTAACAACAGGCAGTACAGGGAGTACCGATTGTGTAGGGTGTTTCTGTCCAAGGAGACAAGGGAACCTGGCAGTCACCTGATATTATCTTGAACACAGTCTCGAGATTAGCAATTAAGTGTACGTCCCAAGTATGGTAAGTCAACGGCTAACTGAAGAGGAGCTGCAACCTGCAGAATTCCGCTTAACTGTAAAATGGTGTCAGGTGATTTGCAGCAGTCCCTCCCACTCAAGGTATATACAACTACTGCTGGAAGTTTCGGCCGGCTATATTCAGTAAGTGACGGGTAGCTAGGTTATGTTTTGCTAGATGATGAGCCTTCTGTCTTTGCTAAGTTTTGCAAGCACGGAAGGGTGTTTTTTACTGCAGTCAGGGGAAGGTCATCACAGCCCCATAGGCTTCATCCGATTGCTACATATTGCGCTGTTACGACGTTTCCCAGATGTCATAAATGCCGATTAAATACAAACGAGCAAACGATTCTGTTAATGCATTCAAAGCAACCAGTGTGTGGGTTGTGGATGCAAGTTCTATATCTTCCTGCTTGTGATGATCTAGGTGCTACCCGCTGAGTGGCTCACCCGGGGTTATAATATACATACGCCATACTACAGTAACCAAAAGGAAATCCCGAAAGACGACGTGTACGTTCTATACGTTGTCTTTTGAATGAATTCTTGGGAATGACAAGATGAGAAGAACCTACGCCAACGGACTCAGTTCATCGTGCAAACAACTAAGTGCTCCAGGACGGTTGACACTTGTAGTGGTGAATGCGCGTACTTCCTCCACCAGAGGATTCGGTCGCCTATATCATATCACTGCGATTGTTGTGATGGTGAACCATGCCATTGTGCGGTGATGATCTTCAGGTTTGTCATGTAGGTGATAAATTTATATTTCCTCATCCAAAATGCGCGCAGGTGTGCTTGCTAGACCGTCCGCAACGATGACATGTTTTGATGTCAATTTGGACCGAAGAACAGGATCCCAGCACGGTGTCATGTGTGTCGCCATTTTTGCCCCAGTGAAGAGCTAATCGACAGCGGTGAGTTATTGCCTTATAAGAAACACCAGTTCCAGAATGCTCTTCCGTTAGTGAGGCATTAAGCATTGCAGGTGCATCTCGTATTTCTCATGGCCTAATACTCACTAGGTGACACCTACACGAAATAATGCGTTACGAATCAGCTGACGAAGATGCTTCCGCTTAAGCACGACCCTGCAAGATTGTTGCTGCTTAAGTATTCCCTTTATAGAGTAGGTTCTTGTTTCACTCTAGCAGCCACATGCCCCCAGTGATATTTCGATAAAATAATTTTCATCTTCCTCTCAGTTCTGGACATCAACAGCTAAATAAACACTGCGCACCAAAAAAGCCGCACACTTTTTATCACAACACACGTATTGATCAAAACGCCCAATGATATTCAACATTTTATCCACTTCAAGCTTGACAACTGGATTGGAGTGTCTTGGCCGGTAGATCGACGCAGATTATATCTGGCAAGTTGATTAGACATAGCGGATCCCTTGGTGCATGTTAGTCGTGTGCGTCAGCTATGTTCTCAGCAATGTTTTCTCAACCACCGACAGCCTCCTTTGCTCAAGCTGGGACTTAGTGGTAGTTGCTGTGGTGAGCAGCTAACCATGTACATCTCTCTCAAGCTATCTGGTAAGACCCCGCAGCCGTCTATGAGAGTCCTGGCGTGTCTCACCATTTGCAATGAAGAATAATGCTGCATTGTATTCCAGAACTCGGCCTATGGGCATAGGCCTTCGTCACCAGCAAGCACTGTGTTCTTCAAACCTAGTACGGGTTATCCGAATAAAATGCGTATATCTACTGCGATGATTACTAGGAATAAGTATTCTCGAGGTCAGAGAACACAGGATCCGATATTCAGTTGGTCGAGCAGAAGATACAAAACGGAATTTATTCATAAGAGACACTGGGATATTTTGCGTCCAACAGTACAATGCTAACTCTAGCAATCTCAGTGCAGCGGAAGAGCCACCAGCATCTTCCGTCCAGTGTGAGCAAATCTCATTTCCCACAAGCTATGACGTATTATTTCACTGGGCGCTGTTTTCTAGTTGCAGGTAACTGCTGTCCTTGAAGAACCACTCACTTATAATAGTCCAGCGTGATAATGACCTGCTGAAAATTTTGTTAAACATAGACATTCTTGACTATGAAATGGTAATCTTGAAAATTTCGTAGTCTCCTAGAGATGGCTTGCCTAGTCTTACGTGGAAGTGCCATCCCGAATATCGTATAAGACGTCTGAAACGTTGAATGAAAATATTTGATGGGAACAACATCTAGTGCATCTATGTCAAGTTTGGTCGCACGGTTTTTGTGGGTTTCGGAATTTCGAACTAGTTTGTTATACTCCAGCAAATGTTCGTATTCCTGCATATGTACGGAGCCGGTAAATTAAGCGTTCTCAAGGAGCCCGCGCGCTTCGCATTGGGCGTGAGCTCCTCTAGGGTATTCCCGATCATGTACGCAATGACCGCCTAACTTTATCTCAGCAAATCCGCCTCTTCAACATAAATCTGGTTTAATATATTTGGTGTAAGCATATTTAGGTAGGTTTGTTTGATTTAGCTAGGTGACGGAATGCTGCATAAATTTATTGAAAAAATGTGAAGTCTACAAAGGAGCACAACCGATCGGTTAACTGGAATGAACTTCACTTCCGACTAATGCCTATACCACAAACTCACGAAAATTTCCTCGTCCTTTCTTTGTTTACCAATTGCACCAGTGCAATAGATAACTCATTTTCCATCGTATACGATGGAAACTATATAACTATAACTATATAACTGGTGGCGCTGTTTGTGTCAAAAACGCTCACGACACCTACATGTGGAAACTGTGTAAGCCGTCGTGGATTATATTTAAAAACGTTTGAAACCTTAGGCAAAGATGGAGAACAACTGCAGTTTATCCATGGATGAAACACTTAAAAACGCTGTTGCAGCGCACATAAACCAAAGTACGGTTAAATTTGTTATTAGAGCCCTACGGAGCCCCTCATGAACTCCTCATAAGTTACAAGAATGAAAAATCGAAAAGTTGTGTTATTGGTGAAATTCCTCACTTCTTACGTTAAAAGAGATAATAGCTCCCGGAGGTCGAGTTTATCTAGGGAAGCCAAGATCCACAGCAATCCTTACTCTTGGATAAGACAGAAGTATGCGTAAGTGTACTTTGCTGCTCGACAGTAGGAAATGCCATGAGGTTTGAGACGACAACAGAATGCAGAAGGAAAACTCAGTGTCATTATAAAACTGGTCGACCACTGCGACAAAAGTTGTCCTCCGGGGGATCACATAAAATGTGGTCGTCACGCGCTACCGTCATCCACAAAAAGCGAGGGTTATTCAACAAGAAGACCGCAGAAGGTGTTGAATGGTCGACCAGTCCACACTCTTGTTCATGAAACAAAGCTACTGTGGTCAGGACGGTTGGATTGTGCACGCTATGGAAGCATCAGTGGTCAGTGATTTTCCGAAGGCAGTGTTCACGACAATTTCTGTGGATAGAAGACAGAGACAAAGCTCATGAGCCGAAGCCCAGTAAGCAAGGCTGAACTTCACCAATACTTACATATAAATCAGTCAAACTGACAGGCACCATATACTTCAGGATTTCCGACGTGTTATTGATGGTTCAATCTTAGAGCATCTATTCAGAAGCTATAAGAAGATTAAATTGCGTGACTCGAAATTGCGTTTCACCCATAGTGTCTTGGAAAGCTTTTGCATCATGGAGCAAATACTTATACACCATTATACCAGTGACCCTTGGAATGAGGTCAGTGGATCAGTAGTGACTGAGGGCTGCATTAAGGTAGTTTCATGAACTTCACTGATGTGAGCAATTTCGAGGGAAGGGGAACAAACAATTAAATCCAAAAGCTGATGGAGGCCACAACTTGGATCGGATGTTTTACATGTAAGCCCGACAAATCGCATTCGTGTTTATCTGGAAAGCAGTCGGACGTGGTGATCGATACGAAGACCTGGTAAACCAGAAAAATACTGTCCACTAGAGTCGTAGTATGGAATTTCACAATTCACATATGCGAATAATTATAGATCGTATACGAGGGTTTTGAGATTCAGAAACACGAAGCTATCGGATTGGCCGTAATCGGAAGATAAACATAGTGCAGTAACTATGGGCAGTTGAAAACTTTTGGTATTACCACTGGACCGGCGTGCACAATAGTAAAGGATGGTGAAAGTCTAGGCAATACAGGTCCAAGGCGAATCCGCGTAATCGGCAATGGGGCGTCCGTTGGGAGGTATTCTGGCTTCAAGTTCACTGATTTATCAAAACACAGCTTGCACGACTACAGATGACTGCAATCTTGGGGCGAGTAGTGGAAGAGGTAATGCCACAGCGTGTTTACAGTCCGGCATAGAACCACCCTGGATGATGCTCTCGAAAACATGGATTGTAGCGGTAGAAGAAACGCCGGCTTGGAGTAAAACCAGCAAGTCGTTAACTAGACCTGATTGTATTGTAGGCTGCGATTGTAGTCTCAGTCCTGAGTGTTGAAACCAAGCACTTAAAAATCAGAATCACGCGTCCCAAGTTCATGTTCCGAGTAGGACATCAAAACATTCGTCTTACAGACACTTACATCACACGATACAATGACGACAATAGTAAAGAAAAATTGGCATTTCATGAAAGTGGGAGCTACAGCTGTTTTCAGGCAAATAATAACGATCAGGGGCCTACGGAAAAAGCATTTCGTGTTTGGCAAAAGTCCCATTAAGAACCGTTTATACACAAGTCAGTCGTGCAAACTAAGATGAGTACAGACGTTTGTGTAAGATAAGGACAAAATGTATAACAGCAGTCAACAACCAAGAATAAGGCTTTTTTGTGGCGATTCATTCTGCGCTGATTAAGAAAATAGGATCCATGTTTAATTTAACACATGTCTTAAGGCCGTCACCCTTTTGCCATGGTTTGGCTTCTTTGTTGCAATGGTTCGATGGCCTACACCAACTGAAATCCATCATGCCAGAAACGAAAACCGGAAGCGGTCAGACAAAGAACAGACTTTTCTTACTGCAAGAAATCCTATTACAGGACATTCTGGCAGCAGAATTTTCTGCTTGCTGCGACAAAAGTGTAGGATGCTTGAGAAATAACTGTCTGGTGATCCGAATGTCAGTAATAATGGAAGCGAATATTCTGCGGTTCCTCAAGGAAAATAGCCCAGCCACTTAATCTTGAATGCAACATTGCCTTTTTGACAAAAGCACTCAGGAAATTCCGCATGAAGTAGATTAATGCGTAAAATGTGCTCTTTGTTTCCTTCAAAGCTAGAAAGTAGAACACGTGAACAGCCTTGCCGGAATTTGAACTCTGGTTGTTTGGCTTGTGAGACAAAGACGATTCCAACTTTATAATAATTCATTTACCCAGTAAACGAGATTTATGAAAAGCAAGCTCAGCAGTGATTCCAAGTAAGGCGTCAGGAAAATCAGGTACAGTAATTAATGACATTCTGCCTTTTAATCCATGGCGTAGGTGTTTTCAGACTGCCAGAGTATTGGTAACATAATGTTCTCAGACGTCAAGTATCCGAGTTCCCGGCCATTGATCAGGTGGCCGTTAATCGGTGCGCCAAGCCTTGGAACAGCAAATACCGCTATAAACTTTAAATAATAACTAATATAAAATCCTCAGTTTTCTCTCTTTGTTGTGGATTGTGCGAAAGAAACGCTCCAGAACGGAAAAGAAATATGAAACGACCGATGACAAAAAATTGAGGTTGAATCGATCGCACAATAACAGATGTTTTGTGATATGATTTTTGTTCATGAAGGATCATCCCTAAACTTTACAGCACTAAAGTGAGCAAACCAAACCTGGCCTGGTCATTTTTTATTATATTTTACGTTACCATCCTTTACCATTATTATAACACTGTTTTTCGTTGCACGTTACGAACACCAACAGCTTTTTGCGACAACTTTGCGAATGGCTGGAAGAAGAGAGGATGTGCTTTTAACGCCAAATCCTGAGTTAACTGCGTTGCATCGGAAGATAGCAAAGAAAGAATTGCATGAAAATCCGGAACACATTGCTGCTCATATAACAAGCCTGAGAAGATGGATAACCTCAACGAAACATTTGGAATATCCAGACGGTAAGCTGAAGGAGTAATTTTACGGTGCACTTATATGAGCCTAATAATATCATTCTCTTTCTTGACTGGCGTCTTAAAATATAGATATTTTAAACGGGTTTAATTATACTTAACTCTCAGTTAACTAGCAGTAAAAGGTCAACTGAAATAATGGTTAATATAGTCTCTACATTTTTAAATTTTGGGCTTGCTTCTTAAGAAAATGTTTGATTGCTAGAAATTGCAACTAAGTATGCTGCACTGATGCTATTAGGAGATGAATGGTGGAAGGACTTGCCCTTTTTTGTCCTTGGAATCATCATCATTGACAGCGCAACCGCGGATTTTAAGATCAACGCTTGTCCACCATACAAACACAATGTGAAGCTTTACTGCGAAAGAAACCACGCAGCTGGATCCATGGGATTTTGTGCTATTTTAGCACAACAGTTCCTCAAGGCGTTTGTTCAAACATTCTGGATGGTAATTAAAAACTAGAACGACAATGGCACTGACTAGCGGTCACTTCTTGCTGCATGTCTAACTGTGCACAAGAGGACCTCACCCTGGAAGGCAAGTCGCTGCGGCAGCATAAGCCAAACTGTTTCGGCGACAGTATCAGAATACTATCCAGTAGGATAAGCAAGTTTAACACACCGTTTTCGCTTTTTTGTAGGGAATACATCAGATAATTTGCTAGAACGCCAATTGCTTTTCGTTATCACACTACTGTGGAAACGTTTTGGCTAGCTCACACAAAACTACCGTAGTTCATTTAACTAATAACGTTTCGTGACATAAGAAAAGTAGGAGGTAATGGGTCTAGCCTGCCTCGAGGATTTTTCAGTTCCGGTGGTTTGAGCTCATCTTTTGGCGTCCGTTATGATACCTTAATTTGTCTTTACAAATTCTGCCGAGACAGCCTTAGAAATGCTTAAAATTTAAAAAATCACTAATATCACAAATGAGAGATCCAGTTGAATTCATTTGAATCTCTTGTTGAGACCTAATTATTTTGCAAATAAGTGCATTTCGTAAACGCTCGACACGTTACTATGAGATGTTACTCCCACTCTATATTTGTCATAAAAATTCACTGTATGGCCATACGCATGGTTCTGATTGATACCAAATCTTTCTCACGCCAGTCAAGTCCAAACAGCCTCCGGAGTTCAGCAAAGTCGTTCGAATAACCTCTTGAGCCTAATGTAACGTAGTTCTGTGTGAAGTCTTATCGTTCCACCGACCGTGGACGAATGTGGTGCTCTGTTATCACCAAGAGGGAACTGAGGTCACGCAGACATCCTACCACATTAATTTCTCTAGTAATGCATAGAGTAGGAGTGACCGTCTCTTGCAAGCTGTATCGCGTGAGCTGTGAATTTATCTATTGTATCAAATCATGGAAGAACAAATAAAACTCAAAGAAATGCTCCCCAGCTCTGTATTAAAATGATGTGTAAAGTAGGCAACATAAGGTTAGGCAGAATTGGTGAACACCGTGCCTATTACTTATTCTTTATTTTACAGGTTTGTCATGAATTTTAAGAAAAACAACCTTGTTCACCCATTAAACATTGATGTCTACCTATATGTTTGATGTTGTTATACTTTGTGGCCAGGCACTCAAAAGCTAAGCGCCAAAAGTTAAAAAGTACCCGGTTTCCTAAGATAAGTGGCTTCGATTCACTAAAAAGACTTGTCTTCTTTACCCTATGTAATTGTGACCAACTCATACTACTTATCAGTGTTAGGCATTCAAAACACTAGCCGGGGGATCACAGTTTCAAAACCTTTGAGTTTCTTGAGGTCAGCACTGCTGGTGATTCCAGCTATACGGAGCTTCTTAGACCATCAGCACAAACTGATCTCCGTTACCGGACGAAATTTCTATTGCGAATGGCCAAATCTCCTCTTACTATCACAATAATCTTCCGGAAGTTGTATGACACCCTAGTCACCAAGCTCATCATTATGCAAGCATGAAGAATCTTCATAGCTGTTTTTGATGACAAACCAATAATAACGCAGGTTTTTGCCTTCTGTCTTTCAAATTGCTGGGCTCTCAAATGATAGTAGGTATTTAATGCTCATTCGCTTCAGTTGCTCAAAATCTACGATAACCGCCTGATGAATTCTGCTAGCTGTCATATTTTTGGAACGGCCGATGAAATTATCTCTCCTTTCCTTGGCTTTCGTGTTCAACCACTAGTAAATTGACAGCAATTTTGTGAAGTGGAATTACGTAGCATATTTCACTGTTTTGCTTTGTCATGATCTACTCTAATGTAGCGCAGATGCCGACGTCTCTGCTATTCGAGGGAGTCTATTTTTTAGAACTCCTCAGTACAGGTCCATTTTGAGTACACTCACTAACAGGGCTTCAGAATACTTATCATATTCTTTTTGGAATGAGACATACGCAAAACACCACCCCCAGAATATATACATTTCCAACCAGCTTTCCGTCACCGCGATTAAATTTCCGGGCGCATGCCAGTATTCGCTCTAGATTTTGCGGAAAGCTTGCCTTTTGGTAAAAGCATTTATTTATTTCGCCGGTGAATATAGCCTACAATGAAGTAAACAAGATTCTTTTCAGGTTTCTAACTCTTACTTAGGGTGTAGGAGCACACTGGTTGCTCTGATTAGCAACTATGGCGAAACAAGATATTAGTATAATGACTAATCTTCCAGCTGTGAAACCCTTTAGCTGCCTAGCTCAGAAGAAGCTTAAAGGCTGAGCTAATGCCACATTACAGAGACTAGGCAAGATCAGTCATTATGGCAAAGATTTGGTCAAACTATGGGCCTTCCGGCCAGTAAGTTCGTAATAGTATGTTCTGAATTCGGAATATGTGGTCAAGCATAAGTTGGGTAATGAGCTAAGGTCTTCTCTTCCCGGGGTTCCAGTTGGCATGCCGCCGTTATCTGGTGATTCGGGCACAGTTGCTTCTCTACAGACGTGAATGGTGGGCTGACATTAAATAAAAACGCTGTTTCATCATGATAGATGCTTACGTTCTTCAGCCTCCCCAAAACTTGTCAGGCATTGCTGATTAGGTGTTGACAAACAATAATCAGACATTTTAAATTGTTCCAACAGGATCGCTTCAGGAAAAAAGGCCTATGCCGATTACTCAACTTGTGCTTGATCACAAATGTTGAAGTCAGCAGAAATTATCACAAACAACTACGAGGAACACAAATGGGGTCACCGATTTCAGGATTTATTACAGAAGTCATAATACAAAACCTGGAGGACATTGTATTGCCTAATATAACTCCCAAAATATTGATCGGCTACGTGGACGGCGATTTTGGGGTAATCAAAGAGAGCTATATGCAGCTAGGAAGCGAACTACTAAACAAGGTTTTCGGCAACATCGAAAGAAGAGAACGACGGAAAACTGGGATTCCTGGAGGTCATCATCACTTTACTGCTACAAGTCGAGGTCTACAGGAATGCAACGCATACAGACCCAATTCTGAACTACCAAGGAGACCATCCACATTGTTACACAAGAAAGCTGAATTCTGAAACTTTTCAAGCGGTCGACACAATGCATCATAATTTTATACAAGATTAAATAAGGAAAACGCCTGTGCAAATCGTTCCAGAAAAATGGATATTCGAGATATTTCACCTGAAGATCACTTAAGGAGCCAAATACGACTAACAAAATAGTACAAAATGGAAGCACATCAGTCACACATCAAGGACACTGTTGGAACGACGGCTTGTATCTTACAATAACACAATATAACGGTCGTTTACAAAGCTGCGTACACTTTGCGGAGGACACTATCGAAATCAATCATATAGAGGATCCAATGCAAGGACTGCTAAAACGATATATAGGACACACAGGAAAGAGGTTGTCCACCAGAATACATTAACACAAGCTCCCTACACAAAGGCACGATAAATTTTTTGTTATCTTCGTGCACAAAGATCAAGAAGGACCCAAGTTCGGCTGGAGCGGCGTTTGCATATTGGCTCAAGCAAGAACGTAGATTTATGGAAGCGCGGTACTCCAGTAAACAAGCTATCAGCAAACATACCAAAATAGACCCTAGTTTATCAACCACTAACAGGAAGAGAACGCAGAATTACAGAGCTATTCAGTGTACAAGCAACGAGACGAGGAAGTCATAGAAGAGACAGGAGAGCTCTATTCAAAAAGCCACATTAAGTTTATTGGAGTAAGGTCCCAATCAGTAGAGCAATATAGCGGATTAACCGGTGGACCCAGGGACCGTAGTCGTTACAAAGGAGAAAACAGGGCTTTGCAAACAACCTCAACACAGTGCAATCAAAACGAGCGAAGAAAATACTAAAAATAAAAGGCATTGGAATAACATCGACTTAATGGAACACAGAGCACAATGTAACAAAGATCACGAGCGGACCGATAACTTCACGGGGAACTCTGTCATACAACTAAGCAATCACTTTAAAGGATAATAGATAATCCAATGCGATGTAAACGTACGCAAGAAAACAGAAAGTATGCATCCAACTATGTACTGATGATGTCTCCTCGTATCATGGCAAAACTTTTGCAAGTCAATTGCCAAGCTCGGCGAACGGATCAACAGCCATATGGTGAAAAACTAACTAACCAGCCAGATCTGTGTTTCCTTGAGTATCGGAATCGAATGGTTTTGTTTCTATTTCTTTACCTAAAATGACAAAATTGTGCTTAGCTGTCATGCTGATCGGATTACAATCGGACGCATGCTATTACCCATAGTATTGTTCAGTATTAAATTCTGAAGTAGTAACTGTCTTCGTCATATTGTTCCAAATGTCAGCCTGAGTGAGCATCATCTCATTGTTATCAAGGTTGATCTGATCGCTGTTCTAAAGGACACCGAAATAAAAAAATTTTTTGGGATAAAACGAAATGCATTTGTGGTCGTTCAGTTCGGTTGATAAAACACCGAAGAATATTATAAAGCCCGAGTGTTATTGGCATACCAATTTGGTTTTGACATGGGACTCAGGTAGAACCCAGATGAATCTCTCGTTTATGAAGAGCCCCAAGAACGGCAAAATTGGTCGTTGGGTGTTGAAGAGTTTTCAGCGAACGAAACTGCGGCAACTACGACGAGTACGCGGTTATTACAGCTGACAATGATGATGATGATGATGATGATGATGATAATGATGATGATGATGATGATGATGATGATGAGCAGCCTTAATAATACCAATGTTATCAGACGCTGAACTTTTGACTGCATCAACTGCTAGCTCTAACGCTATCCGAGTTTTTGCGTTAGTCTGCAAAAAGCAGTTAATGATTCTCCATCAATCGAGTTGACACCGTCAGTTTGTGTAGTGGACTGGAGGTACGTTGATGTGTAGCTTTGAGCGGGGTTTCGCTCCTGTTCATGGTAGGTGACCTTCCGTTATGAATAGTCATCTTCCAAAGACCTTTTTCACCTACGGTTTTACAAGAAAATAAACATCTGATAATGGTTTTATTATCTGTCCTGGCAATGAGGCCCATTCTATCCTAAAACAAATCAGTTGCTACCTTCTTCAGTGCGGCAAATTAGTCCGCAGTTTCGTACTAAAGAAATCTATTCGAGAGCTAATGGCTATTTAGAGCATGACTTGTTTCCTTCTCCTCATAGATGACCGCGTATATTCTGCCTTCCTACGTCATGCTAAATATGAGCATTCTGTGGCACAAGGTCGGATGGACAACTTCGCCACTTTGAGAACGTCGGAAAAGTGTAGTACCTCCAAATGGTTTATTCTTCCACCTATCAGTGACCCAGTTGTTGAGAGATATCTGAACTCCGGGTAAGCGATCACTTTCCGCTTCTAATCCTTAGAGAACATTTCCAGGTCTGTTTTTCAGACAAATTCAGTAAGAGGAGAAAATGTGAGCGCGCAATTGTTTCGGCATTACATTAATGTCCCAGGAATCCCTTGGGATCATCGCAATCAGGTCAATTATAGACGGCAAAGGCGTGAAAACACGGCCTAACGGAAACAGCGGTATTATTCAGTAGCTTTCATGCCAGCGCTTTCATTGGGGGATGTTTGGGGTCAGACATTAATGGAAAACTAGACAACCTTTTAGGTGGAAGTGTTATAGACTATTCGCACTGAGGTTGTCAAATTGATTTCCTGGATTACTGACTTGCTTTGTGTAGGTGGCTTCTGACCTCTGCAACCTTCTGCAACCTCCCATTTGGTATGCGTCTTGATGATTGGGTTTCAATGATAACAAAAGTCAAGAACGATAATCGAACCTAGGGGAACTTTGTTTGCTTTACACGTGTAAATGCTGCTGCGGCATGGGCCACCTGATGAGCATACGCGGTTTCAGTCAAAATCGCTTCAGTAAGTGTAGCGGTATAAAGACTGATATGTGCTCTTTTTGAATGGAGAATAGTTTCGTAGACTGTGTCTTTGTCATTTGGGTGAACTGAGCTGTATTCGAAAAAACATTAAATGGGATTGACCAATACGCAAGGGAATAGTTATAAATAGTTTGATCCTGTTTGTATGAAGATGCGCTTCTACATGTATTCCACTAACCTAAGGCGTTTAAGTAGGATAACCGTTTATGAATCGATCACTCAGATGGACCGGGCCCTCCAACGGGCTGCTAGATAGACCGATGTTGGATACTGATGACCAGTGGAGATAGATTTCAAGGCCCTACCCAATGCCGAAACTTCTACCTGCCCTACAATCCGGGTAATTCATCCAAGCACAGAATAACCGTGGCTTTTTTGAAGGTCCGGCAGCAAACTCATTCTGGTCATGACCAAATTACCACTATAAGCCAGTTAAAATCGATTATCCGCGCAGACGGGAAACTGGGTATTCGAAATAGTTGCTTGCAATAAATGTAGTGACCACAAAGGCATCAGTATGACTCCCGTCGTAACAAGGCTTCTAATACCACTTATCCTTCGTTATCGTGCGGCGGCACACGAATCCTTGACCAGGGAGCATCAAGCGTGATTTTGACCGGGTGGAGGCTTATAGACTAAATCTTCATACGCCACCCGGTGTTACTGAAGTACCGTGTGTAATTACAACCCGAAAAATTGGTGTTTCTTTATTTCAAAATTGCTTTCGATTCTGTCGACCGTTTAGTGATCCTGACTGCACTGGCTCAACAATTTGGCCCGATAAGTTTGCGAGCTTAATCCAGTCCTTATATTCACAAACTTCTGGATGTGTGAGAGTGCATGGTGAGCTTTCTGATAGCTTCCCAACAAAGTGTGGTGTCTGACAAAGATGTCCACTCTCTGTTCTCGTTCAACTTCGTCGTGGATGAAATAACGAGACAATTTCGGTGTTCATATCAGTGCTAATGAGAACATTGTATACCTGGAGTAGGCAGACCACACCGGCATCTTTGAAGAAGAGGTACAGACACGAGGTCTATTGAATAAACTGGTCACATTCATACCATCTTTCGGCAGATGCCTTACGCCTTTAAAGTTCGGAGTCATGGTCCATGGAGTATAGTCTATGAATATAATTCTTGCATTCCAGAGGTTCAATGGAGGTTGTGGAGAATTTTACATGCCTCGGTAACTATATTGGCTTCGAGGGAAATGTCTGTGATGAAGTCATTGCGCGAATTTACAGCAGCAAATTATCAGTGTTCAAAACTGATGTTTTTTCCGTCGTGCCGAAGTGAGTGCACGAATCCCAAGAGTCCTAATCAAGTTTCCCAGCTCATGTCACATATGGCGTTAAAAAAGCATGTCACTAGGTCTCCAGGGTCGTGGGTAAGGGACAGACATTATTGTGAAAATTAGAAAACCTATTGGGTACAAGAGTATGGAATATAGTACAGTATACAGTACACTATACATAGTATAGTATATGCAATATAGTATAGTATATAGAATATTTGCACTTATGTTGTCGAAATTGATTTCCTGGATTACTGGCTTGCCTCGTGTACATGGCTTCTGACCACAAACTGACATTGACGTCTAGTTAACTTGTCAAATGGATACTTTGTTATTTACCATAAGTAGTCAGATTTTTGTGGTCCGAAACCATATTGTGGGCAGTTTAGGTATGTAACGTATCACGTTTTGATTACTTAATAAATTAACAAATTAATAAACTAATAAATAAACAAGCTCAATACCTGGAGATGCTGTATAACTAGCTGCTTCGAACGTCCAGTTTCAAAAGAAGCACTTATTAGAAACTATGTTAATCTTATTATCAATAAGTATGTTGGTCATGCAACAACATAATTAGTTTAGTGTACCTGCTGAATACTGGTGTGCAACAAGGAGTCGAAATGCAGCACATTCGGTAGGAAACGGGTGAAATGTAATAGTACCGAGAAAGCATTTTAGCCCATTTTAAGCTTGAGGGGACTTCCCCTGCTACTCAACTATGCAAAGCAAACGTGACATCGACATTTCTGGTCTACTGCACATTTCTGCAGACTTCATTTTCCCACCTCATGTTGGCAATAGCACGCATTGGCGCGTCGGCATAGTAGTCACATGAGTTGCAGGCAGTCAATCAATGCCTGACGGAGTATTGATCGACTGAACAATTAGTTGACGCACACAACCGGTGGTAGTCATTCATTGCACACATACCAAAGATGCATTGTGCATCAATCGGAAATCGGTGTCATTTCAGAGGGTTAGTGGGTGCCAGACCAACTATATGCTTTCTCAGTCAACGTATTAGATAAGTCAGTACTATAAAACGATCCAACAGAACCGGAAGCATCCAGCTTTTATGGACTGAAAGAGTGTTACCTTTGGCTAAATGTGTGCCTATATATGATCAACTGATCTCAGCTGAGTCCCTAACTCATGATATGCCTCGACTGAATATGCTGCACAAACGCTGCCTTATTTCTCAGTTGGAATGATATTCAAGATATCGCACATTACTCATTAGGACGCTGAAAGCTCTTCGATAACCCACTAACGACTAAGGCTTTTCTTAAAGTTCATCAGATAAACGCAGTCTCCGAGTTATCAATCGTCAGTAGTAGACTTCGAAACAGCCACACCGTTTTTTCACTCTGAACTCATTGTAACTTACTGTTGTTGTTGTTGTTCAGGTAGCTTTGAAATCCTCACCCAGTATTGCAGCAGTTTAGAAATATTGGATCAGAGTCTTGCCTACGGCGTTTTCAACACTTGTTACAATGCTCCAACTCATGCGTATTGTGATAATTGACCATGAGGCTGTTGATCTGTTCGCCGAGCATGGCGATTGATCTGCAAACATTTCGTCGTCATTCTTCAGTGCGCTGTTGGGTGGGTGTTGTATAGACCGCTTTTATCCACGACCGTTTGTATGACCGTAAAATCGATCAATACTTCTGTCAGCAATCACTGTTCTATAGCGACGCACGCTTTGCCAGCGCTCACTTGGTTACTGGTTTCACAACGGGCTTCAAACACGAGATTTCTAAGGAATGTGTGTACTGAACTCGAATGGCGATCCCGCCTCCGCTTGCGTGCTTCTCCTGACCCATGGTGAACACATTTAGATTTCTCCAACACCAACCTATCTTTTTTAGATTTGAATGAGTCTGTTTCGTTGGAGATGCTTGCTCTATGGGCACAATTCCCACAGCCGTGTGGGGTTTCGTTTTGTGACAAGTATTACGCTTATAAGCCTATCTACCTAGAGATAACTCAAATTTTATTGAAGTAACCTGATTTAAATCCCGGTAAGCCTGAAACTGAGGAAAGCATGCTGTCAATCCTGGGGTTCCTGAGTGGATAAGCTCAATTTCCTCGAACCTGGTGATTTCAGCATCCACACAATTTCCAAGTGCTGTCGTGGCACATGTTCACAACCACTGCAGGTCTAAGGTAATTTGAGTTTAGAGGTCTGGGACTCTTGGATTCTGACCGCTGTTGAGTAAATAAGACTTATCGCAGTCCGAATTACACCTGCTTTTATTAACTCGAATCAACAGTACGATGATCATGTAAATAATAGATTTACTAGTTTGTGAGCAACGTAAAAAAGATACAACTTATCGATGCTCTTGTAAAACTACTTCCTCGAAGCAGTGATTTAAATTGTGATTTCGTTGAGTGGGATGATGGTTCGTTTCATTCTTCACTGTTGGTTGGGCCTTTCGAGTGAAAAAAAACCTTGAAAATGGTAAAATGATTACAGGCTTGGTTATAATGGGTGCATTCGCTGCGTTTGCTGCAAACGGCGTAGCCCTGGAAGAAACTCCACAGACTTCATCAACATTGTAAAGACTCTAAACGCCAATGTGTACTTCTGAACAATATTTCAGTGGGCGTTAAACGTCCGGATGGCGAGTTTTTGGGTTAGGCCGCAGTGACTGTGTCACCTTCAAAACCGAGGTCGTTTTTCCGACCGCCCGACCCACATGTCGCTTTGCCGCTCGAATGGAATCGAATGGGTTTGACAAAGCACCGTTGCACAGACAATGATAGACACCAAAACCAGTAGATTTGAAAACCGAATTGATACTCGAATGAGTGTTTTTGTCGAGATATCATCCTCTCTCCGATTGTCTGTGGCGGGCCAGTGCAAAGTCAGGAGTTGAATCCTACTGTCCCTCGGGTAGGACAGCGCACTGGCACAGATGGTTTGGACAGGTAGCAGAACATGGCGCATCCGACCGTCTCATAGATGTGGTCCATGTTTGAGCTGGTACCGGGGAAGTGCCCATTTTGCGGTGAATAGGCACCGACAATCGTAATGGGCTAAGGGGAGACAAACTCAGCCGAAAAGGCGGCGACACTGGTGGCTTTCATATACAGTCAGGATGCGACAGTGGAGTGTCGACTTTCCAAGAAGAAAGAAAGAAAATTTGGCCTTAAAGTTACAAGTATTTGCAATCAGCATGAGTCAAGCAGCCTTGCATACCACAGCTCGATGGAGGAATTGGTGACTGCATGCTTCAGTAAAAAATTTAGAACTATCATTTTCACCCCCCTGGTAAATTTAGGTGTAATTCGCTAACTTCGAAGGGTAATCAACATTCTTTGTTGGGAACAGCAAATACCTAAAATTGGCGATCGGCATTTAACCAATAAATGACTTCTATCACTGAGTTATAAGTATTGTAATATAAGTTGCCAAATAGGGACAAAGACTACGAATGTCTATACCCTCTATGTAAGTATGGACAAAAGGACGACATGAAGTGTCGATTGAACGTTTGTATTCATTCTCGTCCCTTGTTACGACGAGGACTTACATTTTTAGAGCTTTGTTGCTGCTAGACAAGATCTGGAAGCAGTTTTGACTAGATACACTGGAAAAAATAGGTCTCAGTGAAACACGCCATTTAGGTTAGAGAACGTGGACTTACTTATACTTGATAGGACGAATAATCTGAGAGTTTAATCAAAACTTTCAAGACTGGTAGTACAGAATTCTGATATGGCCTGAGAGTAATGCGCTAAACTGTCATGTATAGCGGACAGTAAAACTGAGTTCGTTATTTACACTTGCCTGTAAATTCAACCCAAACGGAGAATGTTGCCGGTGCAATGATACTTGCCCCAAACGCAGGTGTGCACATTTGTTCGGAAATTCAAATTGCAGATTAAATTATCAGGTAAAGTTGAAGAAACTGCTCTAGTTTTGAGGATGCCATGGAGTTAAAACATCAATAATCAATGAAGCAGCACATGAATCTTTCTTGTTTTCGAAGAGTAAATTTTCCGACGTGTTGTTAGGTTACTTGTACCATCGTTTTAACAAAAGTCAATCATTCTTTCAGGATCCACATTCCGGTTGGGTTTCTGGACGACGGGACATTTCTTTTTATCGTGCGTCCAGGTAAGTTTCCTCTTCACGTGGGCCCCATTTTTCTGAATAAAGCATCTCTGCTGAGTTTTTGTATGTAACATTTTCATTTTTACATCACTCTTATTCTGTGCTGCATTTTATTTTCACGTGCCTTGATAAATTGTTCCCAGTAACCTGGTCTTCATACACGACAGAAATAGTGACCCCCAAAGATGGATACGTTAGAGCTTCCATGGATTCATACACACGTCAAGTAGACATTCTGAAATTCCGTTAAAAACCGTCCAGAAACAAGGACCAGAATTGTATTCCTCAGAGGTGTATCACACTCAGGCACTGCACGTCCTCATAAAGCGGTCCATCGAATTGTTTTTTTTTTCAGAATCGGCTGCAAAATTTGCCTGTGCGGCTTTTAGTAGATAAAAATAGAACACTGAGGAAATATTTAGCCCGCCGGAAGTAAACGTAAACTATTGGCAGAACATCCGGACATTGTTTGTGTGACCCACGATCAAAAGAAGGTTTGCCTAAACCCTCCATGTTGTAGCAGAGCGGCTGTACTTACTGGCTGGTAAGCAAGATTCACCGTGTCAGGCTTGTTGGTTGCCATCTGATCTCGGAACACCAACACAGACTCATTCCTCCACCATTTTGTTATCATTTTTATGTTTAGGTTTTAAATACTAGGTGAGAAAATCTACCTATAAGGAAAAGAGGCCAGTGGATAGTAATTTTCTAGGTTTTTGTCTCTTGCCCCAGGTCTGTTTCTAACTGAAGGCGCACTAACAGGGATGGTTGCCGCTTTGTGCAACATCAAACCGAAAGGCAGCTGCGGTCAAGTTGGAACAAGCACTTAGGCGCTACAAAGGCCAGACACTTTCGCAAGATGCTACCTACTTGGTGATGTGCGCAGCGAGGTTTAGTTGAGGCTTCACATCTAACAATGGCTTGTTCGCTCAGCTCAGCGAACACGCCAACGACCACCATAGTGGAAAAGATCACTAGTTGAGGCTCGTTGCCAATAATGAAGAGGAATTTATTCTTGAGAGTTTACAGGGCTGAAGTGCTAATCCACCTGGAAGGCCAGGGCAAGCGAAACAGTCAATCCCCTGTAAATTATTACCAATGACCAGTATTTGGTCTTCTGCAAAAAAATTGCAGAAGAGAATAGGGTTGTCTGAGACCATTTTTATATCACCAGGACAAGCATGTGCATAGTGATAGAAGATTCAGGTTGCATGTGGCATACATTGGCATGGTCTTACTAGGTTACGGTTTTGGCTGCTTCACGGTGTGTTACCTTTCAGGATGAAATTACACTGCTTAAATAGGTTTTGTTTTATGGCGTTACGCCCCATAGTGCTCGTACTTGATTTCTTCAGGATAACATCTTCCGGTAATTTCTTTCAGCCCTTTTCTAGCAAGCAAACGCCCTTTTTTCAGAAGCGTGTTATTTTAGTTGTTCGATTTAGAGAGCCGTTCCTTATGAACATGTATCCGCCCAGTAATTCAAATGGTGTAGCAGGAACCAACCTAACTCCAGAACCCTTGATTTCTTTGTTTACTCAGCAACGAGGGATATAAAACACGTTTGATGTTTTGCACTTTGACTGCTTAATAGTACAGCGATATTATGAGTAGGGTCATCTATCCGGTGTGTCTAAGTAGCGTGTTTTTCAGTCGATGACCTCAAGCTCAGTCTGGCTGTTATACTGTTGACACGTTGTGCCTCACTGATCGTAGCGACCGATTTGAGGAGAAGTTTGAAAAAGAAATCGATCAGTTCTGCTGAAATAATTGCCGCCGCAATTGCAAGTGAACTTATAGGTAGCATGCAGGACTGAATGATTACACAAACTCTTGGAACTATTTCAAAGCATAATCTTTCGGTTTGTTAAGCGAAACTGAGCCGCATCTCAAGTGCGGTTTAAAGTGGACTGAAGTTCCTACTCGGTGTTGAGATATTATGGCCCTTAAATTGTACATACATTACCACCTCCTTCCTAGATGTGTGGGTCAGATTAGTTGTGGAGTTGGACAGTAGGTTTCAAACTCTCATCCGGACGTCTGGTAGTTAGTATGCCCTAGAATGCCAAACTACCATTTTTTAACTATCTTGGGATACAGACGAATAACTGTGGATATCGTCTAAAATGACAAAAGATCGACGGAAAGCTGGTCATTGCATCGCATGCATAGAGATGCACTCGAAAATAGCACTGATACTTCGTAGTCTCTTAGATTCCTTACTCTTATTTGACCAAAAACCACCTGTGATCAACTTTCACTTGCAATCATCACCTTTTTTAACCCAATACCTCTGACACTAATGTGAGGAGTTGACCTGGAGATGTGATACAACTTATCGCTGACCCATTCATTTTCCGTTTCTTTCAGTCTTAACAAGTTTGTGCAAAAATAATTTGTCTGTTTAGCCCAGGTAAACCTGTGATGAACATATGTGTTGCTAGTGCTGCTGGTGAAATGACCCAGAAAGAAAGGCAAACTAATGTATTTGATTGACCGAATATGTGTTACATACATCAATGCACACCGATTGGTACAACATTACAGTAAGCCATCGAATTACGTAAATTAAGGGATGCGAAAACCTCAGTGCCATCCGGAAACATCTTGTGCCAATTGTAAGGGTGATCCGAACTGGTCGACATCCCGTTACTGTGATTGCCATATTTCAGTTTCATCAGGATCGCGAATTCTCCGGACCATCGCATGCTTATTGCTTGCTCAAAAACAAAAAAGTTCATACAATCATGGATGATATTAATTTGGGGGTTAGGTATTCCTTTCTTCAGGATATTCCTCAACTGGTTCCGGTCTCGCGCCTTAAATACCGGGGCTAAGTACAGCGTGAGTGAGCTGGTGAACACATCTTATACTAATGAAGTGGGGTTTTTCATCCAACCTTATAGCCAATAAGCCTTTTTGCAAAGTGCATTGCTTTCCATAATATGCCACAATGAATTGTAACATCCTCGGTTGATTCTTTTAAACGCGCACCAGCACTCGATGAGAGGTGAATTCAATAACTTTTTTTTATTATTCGACAGCTGCCCTGGACAAAGAAAACTTCCCAGTAGAATTCGTACTGAAATTTGTAACTTTTCATATGGACCGGATATTTGAAGACCCGCGAGTACAAATATGCGGTATTCGCTTATTCATGGACATGACCAATGTCTCATCAAAGCTCATGCAAAAAATGAATCCCGCAAAGAATTTTAAGGAAATCATCAAAATGTTTCAGGTAAGGTTTTTATTTTTTTGGCACATCGGATTACTCCATTAATTCACAACCAAAGGAGGGATATCCGGCCCGTATTAAAACTTTTATTTACTACAATGAACCTATTTGGATGGATCAACTTCTCAAGATAATGTTCACGTGGATGAAACCAAAACTGAGAGAAAGAGTAAGTAGTCTCATCGTTCATGTGAGATTAGTTATAAACATTCTTCCTCATAACTGCACCAAAGTATGATTTTATCACAATCGATCATTCAGAATAGCACCGTGTATTTTCGATTCATGGACTAAAGTGGACGCATCTTCATGACCTGGTTATCTGAATTCCGTAGGGACCGTGGTGATACCGCATCAAGCAACTTTCTGAAAACATGTGTACTGAAGGCATATAGCTCATCGAAAGTTCCGTTGTAAGAATCAGCTCAAATTCCCTGTCTGCTCTCAACAAACTGAAGACCAATGAGTGTTTATCTATACAGGTGACATTTCACACGGAAGTTTGTATTTAGAGAGATTACAGTAAAGGGTTTCACTAATAGAGAAAATGAATTTGCACCAGCATCAACCTAGCCTAGCTAACAGGTATTAAAAAGAGTGTCATTGTGTGAACTCTATCTTTCAGGTTACGGCGAAGTCGTACTGCTTGAAGATGGATGACTGGCCACCTTCATATTCATAAAAATGTGGTAAAACAATATCAAGCTTCCATTGACTAATGTTTGACGTGGAAAATGGCCTAACTGGAAAGTCTTAGCCCAGAAGTGTTTTTACTAGCGTTGCAGTTGATTAGTCATACACAATGAAATGTCCGTTGGCCCATAAATGTCAAGAACCCTAAACTACTGACCATAAATCACTATGATAAATGAAAGTCCTTGAGCTCAAAACACAGCTCAAACTGCCATGTCTATCTGATAACAAATGCGTTTGGCTAATGATGGAGACTGTACGGCAAAGGTGGTTTCCTTTCCATTAGAATCTGAAAAAATGAAAAATGACTGACCCGATCCGTTATTCGATGCATGTGATTCCAAATGCAGTTTCAGACGGGGGTTGAAGTAGATTAATAGGATAGTTTAGGTTATAAGTTCTTTGGTCTCTTTCAGAGTAGCTTGACATAGTAACGATCACTACCAGTTTTTTATCACTTAAAAGTTTGTTTGGAGATTCTCGAAGTCTATGAAGTTCTAGCAAAAATATACGTTGACCGAATAGATTGAGGTGAGATTTTAAATGAAATTTTAACGACTGATCATAATCAACAAGTTTCGTAATGTTTGTTTCTAGGACGGTACTGATATGCTTATTTTGATGTTGGTCGGATTTGGGCGACGACATCGGTGGTCGCTAGTGAACCCCAGATTCCTAAAATCTGCCAGAAATAGTTCGTACTCCTCAGGTCTTAGATAGAAGCGGCTGACTAGCAAATTCTTAACGGACAGTTCGAATTATGCTATTTTTATCCGAGTATCTCGCTAACGTGGTATCTGTCTTGGTGTACCGGAACAACAACAAGAGACTACTTGCAAGTATGTACATGCACAGCAACTAAGTCTGAGTGTTAGTTTTTTGTCCCCATTATCGGGTTTATATCGCGCTTATAGTAGGGATCTTCTAAAATAAACCGAAAGAGGATATTGTCTCTTGCGATGGCGTTTCACTTTCTTTGACTGAGGCTGAGAAATCTCCTGTTTGATTGAAAGTACCGTGATTATACAGGTTGAAGTCGAGATTTCTAGCAAATTTCGGATTTATCCCCGGGCGACTCTGTTGCTCAGGCATCAGAGAGAGATTATACAACCGGCATCGAAATAAAGAATTAATGCAGTCGTTCCAGGATAAGTTCTCTAAGTATGTTTTTTGTGAGCTTACCTTGGAGAAACTCAGGACAAAGTACAAAAGTTGGCAGCAAATCTATTTCATCAAATTTATTCACAGGTTGTTTTTCACATATATTCATGATCCGGTAGCGCTGTGATTTTAAACAAATGTCAGGGCTGTTTTTAGCGAATTTCACTGTTCATCTTTAGGCGTTCTTGCAAGGTCATACTAGGTACTGGTGTCCTATGAGCATTCCCAACCGAAATTTATCAGATTTTAAGCCCCCGACCTTTTTACAGCTTGTTATAATCAACCTGAATTGCGTACCAAGGCCACCAAAATCGGTCCAATGACATCATACCAAGCTTCAAACTAAGCCAAATTCAGAACAACTTATTAGCAGCATCATGTTTGTTTAATTGCATCGGATGAAGAGCGATAAACCCTTGACAGATGACTTGTTTCCTGAGATGTGGCTTTTTCTCCGTTGTGTCGTGCGGGTAGCATTGTTATAAGGTAATTGAGTAATAATAATAATAATAATAATAATAATAATATACTCAGCGCTTAGTGTAAGTTACAGTTCTTTACAGGTCTTTAACGCACTGAAATCATTACCAATGTTCCCATGCTTGGTGCTATTCAACAGGGCACTCGGAATCGCGATTTCTGATTTTTTTTCAAAAATCTTTGTCTGGTAGTACTGCATACTTTTTCCATTCTAGATAATTCGGTCCAAAAGTGATATAACGAAGGCCTTTGCAAAAGTGCATGGTTTGCAAGCTATACTCCCTAGAGAATACGGTGGTGACAATCGCAGCATCAATGACATTATAGGTGAGTCATTGCATGTGAAAGATTCTTGTTGAGATAAATTGCTTTTGAAAGCCACGTCGTTTACTGGAGGGCTAGGTGCATGTGTCAGAAGTTGTAAAACCTCGACTGATATGACCAAATATGAACCACATATTTGGTAATTGATCAGGTGGCTCTTGATCTGTTCGCCGAGCTTGGTAATTGATCTGCAAACGTTTCGTCACCATTCGAGGAGACATCTTAAGTGCGCTGTTGGGTGGGTGTTGTATAGACCGCTTTTATCCACGACCGTTTGCATCACCGTAAAATCGATCAATACTCCTGTCAGCAATCACTGTTCTATAGCGACGCACGCTTTGCCAGCGCCCACTTGGTTACTGGTTTCACAACGGGCTTCAAACACGAGATTTCTAAGGAATGTGTGTGCTGAACTCAAATGGCGATCCCGTGTCCGCTTGCACGCTTCTCCCGACCCATGATGAACACGTCTAGATTTCTCCAACATTTACGTATCTTTGTTAGTAGTGGACTTCGAAACGGCCACACTGTGTTTTTCACTCTGACTTTATTGTGACTTTTTGTTGTTGTTCAGGTGGTTTTGAAGTCCTCAGGCAGTGTTGTAGCAGTTTAAGCATATTGGACCAGTCTTTCGTGCGCCGTTTTCAACATCTGTTACAATGCTCCAACTCATGCGTATTGTGGTAATTGATCATGTGGCTGTTGATCTGTTCGTTCTTGCTGCTGGGCCCCCGACCCAAGCAACAGCGCACTGAAGATGTCTCCCCGAATGGTGACGAAATGTTTGCAGATCAATTACTCATTATGTTTTGGCATGTGGTATTAGCATAAAGTGCTTCATGATGCCATAAATTTAAATTCCATTATGTTGTTCAAACGAAAAATGATGGCTTTTGACGGAATCCAGAAATCACCTTCTCCGTAACCCGCTACTATTTGAACAGATGAACAATCTTGTGGTGTACTACATAAATTGTACGAACATCCGATGTGATTTTTCGGACACCTACAGTACTTAGGATTATCAATATGATAGAAACTCTGAGATATATTAGGCCGCATAAACAGCAGATGAAAGAGTTGACCTTACTGATAACTGAAATCATTGTTTGACACGCTTCTAATAAGATTTCGTATAGTTTTTTATTTCATTTTCTCGGTTGTTGTGAATGCCAACAAAACTTGCGTTCACAAAACATCATCGCATTTTAGCATTGCACATCAGCTTTTTGAGGTCGGAATCAAGACTCTACTTTTAATATTACAAGATAACCGAAATCTCGGCTGTGTTCAGTTGCGTCATTTTGCTGAAAACCCATAAATTTTAATAAGTTTCTGGCAATAAATCTAGCCTGTGCTCCATTCTTGAATGAGTAGTGGTAAGAGAGTACATCTATTTCCTCATGGAGCCATTATCACAGACTTACTGCTAGAATTCACCTATCTTTTCGAAAGTCATTTACATTATACACTCAGGCTATTCAACCTAAACCCTTCTGGCTCTAAAGATCAAACTTGTTCTGCCAGATCACGACTGATTTGAGTCTTTTTGTATCTTATTTTTTTAAAAACTGAGGACAATCATTCTTGAATCTCCATACATTGGCGGTAATCCAAGCTCAGACACTAAGGACCCGTGCATCGTTTTCTGTTTTGTCAATCAATTAGCCAGCACTCACGTTTATTGGATGAGAAGTTGAGCATTACTCATACATCACCTGCGGTCAGATGTGATTGATATTACGGAGCCGAACCTCACATGTAATAGATGTGTTATATGTGTATTCAGTCATGCATGAAATGGATTCTTTTAAAGATTGACTGCGCAATTATTTTGCAACTCCGTCTAGTGGGTTCCTAATGTTTCCACCAAAGTGCGCTGCCTGGATAAATAGAGGAAATTCCTTCCGGGTTCAACATTGGATATTCATCCTCTGTGTACCCACTTTTAATATATAGTATAGTATGTAGTATATAACAGTACGCCAGAAAAATTGCGGAAAAAAATTGCTTGCTGTTTGTGGAATCTTAGTACAGAAGATTGTCGTTAAACAGTATTAATTCAATTCACTTAATGTGGCAGCGATCTAATAAAAGTGTTGCATATTCAACTCGTCTTGTGTATTTGTATTTAGGCTTGTCTACCGGCTAAGAACTTCAAGGTGCTCTTGAGCTTTTTTCTGCAGTTGTGGTGTACTTTGACCTGACAAACTTCATGGCGCTTATGGAATTGCACTTGGTCCCATGTGTTTTTCAAATCTGAGCTTGATTTGAGTCATGTTAAGTTCACTCTGTTGTTTTGTAGACCCCGAACTACTTTGCGAGTACATCCTCAAGAAGGACCAGTACGTTTAAAGATCAAGAGAAATAACGACTCAGAATGTTGTTTCAACTGTTATCCCGGGAACACGTGCATTCAGAAGCAAACTATTTGCAAAATTTTAGTGACCCTGTGCCACGCAAAATCTCCATAACAAAGGCCCTTTTGTTGAGGAGGATTTTAGTATGGTGGAGGGTACTACACTCAGCGATACAATCTAAAGATCCATGCTAATGAAAATAGCTTTGCTAAAGCAAGCATTCATCAACTAATCTACATTGATTACCTACTACTTGGAGCACTCTGTGAGAAAAATCAATCTGAATGTATGCCTACCTAAGCGTTTACACCAATATGGGTCAGTCTCACTTTACTCTGTTCCCACCGTAGGTTTGTTTATAACAACGGCATGGATGGTCTCGAACGTTTCCATTTGTTTTGCTCATATTAATGAATACATTTTCATCGAGTAAGCTCTGCATTCTGCGAAGCCTGGCCGTGCTTTGTGATGAGTGCCATGAAGTCGTTGAAACCTTCCAGCTACCTTGCCTGCCGGAATATAATTTCTCACAAATCAGATCCTAAGGAATGCAGAGCAAATCGGAAAATAAGAGGATCAGTTTGTCATACTACGACCAATAGTGTTTGCTCAAAAAATACGAAGAGCAGTGTCCGTAATAGAGATAGTGAACATTCTAAAGCATAAGAATTTGGCCCCCTCTCAACGTCTATTGTGGATGAGACTCTTGAGAACGTTCAGAGCACAATTATGGGGAGGTTTCGGGTAAGAGTTGTCTAGGTGGATGAAGTTTTAGATTGTGCCCAATTAATCGAAATCTCGGAGTCACGGGGATTATAAATGAAACTTGGTGACAATTTTCGTTACGCCTAATTGATCTCTGTTGGTGAAAATACTTCACTGCGCCAGTGGGCAATATGCCACCATCTTCCCATTAGGTAGAACGCTTTTTCAAGGGAAGTTAGCATATCGAAGGTGGACAGGTTTTAGGCTTTATTAGACGTTTGCACACGGAAATTAGTAATTTGTGAATGCTATTTGAGCAATTATTTTTGACAGTCCGCATCTTTATGTAGAAGTAGCTGCACATTAGTATGGGCTCGTTTGTATTCTTTCATTTGAAGTAAGGTAATGTGAACACACTCGTCCTTGGAAAGCTTCATCGCATCTAACTGCCCTGTAAACACAGCCTTCTATGTTCCACAGCCGACACGTGGATTCATATAATTTCAGTTACCCAATATAAACCCATGCACATTCTTCAAGCCCCTCATAGTTTCTCATAGTTTCGAATAATAGACTTGTTAAACCTTACCCCACTGGATACAATGGCTGACAAACGATTTGACATGGCTGTAGGTCAGTGGAGCACTGGTGTTCAGACTGGTATTTCTATGAAGTACAGTGGCCATTGTGGACATCATTGCCATTACTTTGGCTGCTTCTGAGATTTACTCTGGTGGCTATTTGTGGGTTTCGAAGATGGCTCTCTGTTCCATTACTAGGAGAACTTTAGTTGTGAAACGGCTTAGATACGAAGTTATGCAACTAATCACCATTTTAGTGGAAGACTTTCATGGAATAAGGCATGTAAAAGCAATAAAACCAATATTTTGAGGTCACCAACTAAACGGTCAATATTTTATTGTCGTTTATCTCTGAACCTTCTAAACAGCCGTTTGACATCAACTCTGAGTTAACCCGCTTTCAAAAGTGTCGGGTTGTTTCGTTGCACGAGTTGAAAATGCAGTTTGGCAAGGCTTCTCGTCTGCGAGAAGACTGACTTGTACAGCTACTATGTTTATGGGTTTAAATGTTTATTTCCAGTAAATGATGCTAGTGGTCAGTGAAAAATGCCATGGTGCACATTTTTGGTAAATTTTAGCATTGACACACCCGATGAACCACGCGTTGTAATCTGAAAACGTACCTGCAAAATATTCAGCTAATATTCTTGTTTTCACTCTCTTCAGCGGAAAGGAATGCTTGGTTCAGGAAGCAGTACGATGAACCTACCATTTGGACTGGAATAAAAGTAGACGAAAGCAAGAGGCCAGAGTCGGCCAAACACTACCTGAAGGAATATAAAGAGTATTCTGAACATTCCATGGGTCATGCGGGAACATTCGTGCAGCTTCCACAAAGCGATTAATCTTGTGGGTGCCTACAGTCTGTGATCATCGTCTTCTGTATACCAGTCTCCCTGACTACCTAGGTGTCTTTCTACTGTTGGATATTTCCACTCACCAATTCATAAACACGTACGATATCACGGAAATTTGGCAATTTATTTAATACGAAAACTTTTATTCCTCTTCTTTGGTGCTCTGATATTTTTCGCCTACAAACGTGTTGCTATCTGCATCTGTTCGTCAACAACCTAATGTCTGCCCCACAGCTTTTTGCCATAGTGTCTTTTTTCACACAAAACACCGATCGACTAAGTCCCCCTTAGTAAACAGTGCGCAAACGCCGGTTGCTTGTTTTTATTACACACTTAACGAGGATATATTTTACATTGTTTCGAACTGAATAGATTCACTAATATCACTGAATCAGTGTGCCTGCAAACTTACACTCAGACAACACATCGGAAAGAAAAGTGTCGTCCTATATTAGTTTAACATTATTTTTCCTTCTCATTTACAAAGATCTAGCGATTTAGCACATACATTACTCAAAGGCTCATTTTAAGCCCGATGGATAAAAGTGACGATTGTTTTCATTTTGAAGCCTTGTACTGAAGAACCGACGTTAAACTTCGTAGCCAGCAACAACAATGTGATGAACATGACTGATACTCTATTCGTTGCTCTATTCATTATTCTCTTGTTTTAATATTCCACATGCTGTATATATTCGCCAATTCGAACACATACGTGCTGGTTGTTACGCTTCGCTGAATTCTGGATTTCTAGTTCGTCTGGTTATACCGATATACGTATGAAACTTAATTCTCACAAACACACCAATCAGTCAAACAATCGTTCAGCAGTAGCACCCTTTCGGTGCCTAACTGCTGTGCCACCCGAAGGAAGCTCGAGGGCTCGTATAGTGCCAGGTTGCCCAAGCCTAGACAGCGGAAATTTAGAGGCAGAGGTTGGGTTCGAACAACGGACTTTCTGGTCAGTAAATTCGCGCTCTAACCACTTTACGCATCTCTCCTCCACACAACACACCAGTCTGTGCTAAGAAATTGCGTCATTTCATAGACCAGAAACAGTAAAACTTAAGAGGTTAGCCACCTGAATCGGTATAAGACAGTTCACAAGCATTGCTGCAGTCCCCATCGAAGAGAAGAAACTTTTCGATCATCTTGTTAATATTCACGTATCACTACTCATCGACGTGTGGCCTACCCGGATGTTACTGCTGCCGGTAATGACATGTAAGTAAAAGATTAAAACAATTAAATGAACAGCTAAACAAACAAACCAAAACTAAGTATGGAGAATAAACCCTACCAAACACTACACTTCATAATGCGTGCAATTTTTACAACAGTTCAGACCAGAGCTGACAGACATTTAGATCAGCAATGGCAGATTATGGTCCAGAAAGATGGGTTTCTAGTTCATCACATAATGTTTCGCGAGGGTTTTCATAGCGGGTGATGACGCGTTCCTCCTGGTTTATGGTCCAAAGTTGGTTGTGGGGGGAGGTTATGGAATATGATTTGTGGGAAACAAGAACCTTTAACCAGTCTCGGAATTTGCAGTTAAGACTTAATTCTCAACGGTGTCGCGAGGGTGTGTAATAATAGTTCGCTGCAGTGTCAATACAACCTACCAGTGTCTTTTGTTTCAGGCCCAATAACTGCACGTGGTCAATGGATAAATGTCCCACACTAGGTTATTGCGAGCAAACTGGCTTCAGTATAGGTAACTGCTTATCACATTCACTTGATCATGGTACTAGCGCTCTTCACCCTTGCAGGTCGGCTGGACCAGAGGCTCGTCGTGCCCTGTGCGCGACCAACTGTCATTCTCATACCCTGTGGCCTAAAACCGTGGTGAACTCTCGAGTTATCACGCTGACATCACATGCCAGACTTGGGGTTAATGATGCCGCTAACAAAAGACACCGACTGCGTTCCATTGATTCTGCAACTCGAAACAGTTCCACGAGAGATAAGCCCGTCGGTGGTCAATAACATGTTGCATGGATCTAATCAAAACGAGAGGAACCATCTTATGTAGTGTCAGACATGAGGAAAAGGGCTTGGTGTGATTTGACTATCTTGTGACAAAGCCTCTGTCTACGTGCTTGAAGTTCATTCGTTCTAATATTTGCATACCCGAATATAATTCTACACTTTTTGATCAGTTCTTGAACAAATTGCACAATGTCGGTTTTTTTTTGCAAGTCAACTGCCTAATGCTTTCCGAATTCATAGAGCTTATTGCTCCTATTTTTGGGGAAAATTAGGTGAATCGGGAAACTTCGACACTCAATTCTGAAGCATGAAAGTGCTCCTTGTTCAAAGGAAGCTTAATTTTGGCATCCTGTCTTCCACCCTAGAATGGTTTTGCCATTATTTCTAGCCGTTTGTTTAGACACTCGTTAAGTATGTAACTGTTATACCAGTTAGGCATGATGATGCTTTTCGGAGACATCCTCTATCTTATAACCATTCATCGTGGAAGACCAGCAGTCACGAAAAAATAAGGTTAATATGACAGAAATCTCGCAAAACTACCCACATCTAAAGCCTTTAGATGATTTTTCAAAGTAACAAATCAGGAAAGTGTGTTCATGCGCAACGTAACACAAACGCTTGAAATAATAATGTACGGATTGTCATCAATGCGCATTTGAATCGGGGTAACGTGTTTTCCAACAGTCTCAGGTCTCCTGCACATAAAACAGTTAGTCCATACTTCAAGTTCGCCCTTTAGGCAACTTTCGTTGATGCTACACACTATTTGACCTTCCACTTCAAGAAATGAAAATATTTTCGGTGTTTGTCCAATCATTATATAGTAAATCGCGTATGAAGAACGGATGCATATACTGAAGGAATATACCATCCGAGCCATTTAACAATGCTAGCTCAAAAAGCGTGTGACAAAATCGGACGTTTGGGGCCCTGAGCCCCACTTGTTACTTAACACCGCTAACTTTAAACATGTTGTTTGGAAGGCAGTTAACGACTAGCTTTGTTTGGTCAGGATAGTAGGATTTTGCGGAGTGAATCGTCAGAGTCGCGGATTCACGGATTGATACGTAGGGTCGAGGCTTTCACTAAAGTTTTCCGGGGCGGTTTTTCTCTTGTTGTTCAGCGGCTGTCGTTCACCTGAAAGGTACAAGTGAAAAAATGATGCGGAACGGCTCCTTAATTTCCCAGCGTGAGGCAGTATGCTTGCCAGCTTGAGGACTCGCATAAATAAGTGTCTAACAGTGGCTTGAACTGGCTTCTAGAAGGGGCGTGGACAATCATCGGAGGAAGATTAGTTTACGCAACAACTACCCGAAATGGGAAAAATTTTTGCCCGATGAATGTCTGTACTCTGAGTTTGAAAATTCTACCATGTCCCCACCCTGTGTTTGCTGGGTCAACGGCGAGAAAAGGTATGTTCATACAGGGCATAAGTAAGAATCAGGTCCCCATGGAGTCGACGATACTGCAACGATCGATCGCCGCGAGAGCCATTTTGCTCTCTATGGATTGGAGGCCAGCAACCATTTTTGTGGCACCCCGCTGGACAACCTCAATGAGGGTTACGTCTTTCGTGCGTCCTGAGTAAGTAACTTGGTTATCATATTCAAGGAGCGGTCTGACGTAGGCCCCATAAAATATTTCAAAGTCCATGTGAGTAATACGGGAGTAGGTGTACCGAATCATTCGTCGAACGACAAATGCCTTTTGGGTTAATTTCTCATGGCGCAGTGAGAAGGACTTGTTTGAAGAGAGCCAGGGACACAAATCTTTTTTGGCATCCATCCTCGTGATGTCTTCTGGTCCTTTCTTACCATACATGACAAACGCATTCGCGGAGTCTCCTCCAAATGACATGGAGGCAGGTTTCGTCATCCAGAGAAAGGTACTCTAGTGTTCTGGCTATCCAATAAGTTAGTTTACCAGGAGTGTGGTAAAGAAATAAAAATAATGACGCTAGGTTGGGCATACAAATATAAAGAGATCAGATGGAACAGACTCACTAACAACTATTCTCTTTAAAATAGTTCGTCGTTGGCCCAGGTCAGCGAATAAACAATAATCCAATTATGTTGCCCAGAGGTCTTCTGAACAGTTCCCACATATAATAAATTCCGAAGATGTCTGAAATGTTGTGGTACCGAAGTGAGACTCGCGAATGACCGCTGTAAGCGCGAGCGAAATCAGAAGGGAGAGTCGAAGCACGTGATCACGCTTGTATTATATGAAATTGTACAAGTGCGCGTTTTTTGTAGTTTTTCGTATTCAAACAAAAAACGATTATGCAATTGATGAAATACGTAGTGTTATAATGGAAGTAAAATAAAGGTACAAAACGCCACAGTACCATTTCAATGACAGACATTCTGATCCAACCAAAGCCACGCGTCATTTGCACTTGTGGCCGCCAGGTTGCGCGATGCAGATGTTTACGCTGAAAGTGCGCACAAACCAGAAACGGCTTATGATCAGCGCAGAATTGATGGAGTCACTCACAATCGTCCGTCCAACTCTAGATCGAGTGCTCAGATGTGATTCAAAGAAGCTCGGACGACTGACTTGGGACCTTATATCGCCCACAACGATTACAGTGTCTGTTTATTGCTCGAAGAATAAGCCCAGATAGCTTTAAATAGAAAATATATTTCCTAGCGTCAGACCCGCATTCCATTGTGGCATGTGCTTGCACTCAAAACAAGCACCGTTTTTTACTTTACCACTTACCGAGCTAGATTAAATTGGATGACCGGGCAGCGCAAAGGCGGCCGTAGGCTGGATTACAAGCCACCGAAGCGCGCTCCGCTCTGGGGCTGAGTGGAACCCCCACATCATAAATTCCGCTAGTCATCGTTTCCGGAACGTGGGATATACAAAGGGAAAAGTGTGAAAGAGCCATTTCAATCTTGGGCATTCCGGGGTGTAAGGCCGCGCTCGGATCTTGTATGCGTGTGTCGGAGACAGCTTACATTCCATTCTAAGGAAGTTAAAGGTCTTAGCGAGCTCTGTCTGTTTTCCAGTCGGGCATAGAGTACATAGAATTGATGTCCTGGACTCGGCATGGTGTTATTCTGTCTGTTGGTGATAGGCTGCTGGGTTCACAAGGCACATAGGTCGGATAACTGACAATAAATAACCCAGCAAAGTTAAAATGTATGGTGGGAACTGGCCCAAGAGGGACGCCGGGGGGGGAGAACTATGCGGAAAATTGTGCTGCTGGTCGCCAGGCCGAGGAGGCCGGTTTTGGTTAGGTGCCGCATCTTGAGCCGTTGACTAGGAATTCCGAAGTTGTGATTCCTGCGCTTCGTAACCCATACTTAGCCTTTTGTTACCCTAGCCATATGCCGAAGCGTCCAAGGCCGAAAAGGCTTCGTTGGTGGTTTTAAACTTAATTTCAATTTGACTGGCCAGATCGTGACAAGCAGGATGTCTCTTTTTTGCTCTCCCTAGTTGCGTTTCATCAGACACCTGCAACTTTTAACGATCTAATCTTTTCTTAGCTTTATATTTTCCCCGAAAGTAAGGTAACCTCCCGGTAATTCTGTTTGCTTTCGCAAGCCGGTCTAGGCTGACCAAGTTCACATCGGATGTAGCCCACTAGTTTTGACATCGTCCTATTTTTCGCGAAATCCCCAGTGCCCGCAGTTCCCTAGTCATACTCTATTCTGACTGAAACCGTATGATCGTACCTGACGGGATGCCACACAGTAGTTGGAAATAAACATTAT